GTGAGCCACCACGCCCGGTCTCTTAAGTAATATTTTTAAAGGATATTTAAACACTTTAAATGAGTTAGCTTTTTTATAATCTTTTTATTGTCTTGTAAAGTTTATTGAAAAATCAGGTTGGGCATTATTTTTAGTGAATATCTCAATATACTTTTCCATTAAAGTATTGACAGAGGTGATATTAGGTTTAATTGTGTTGACATTGCATAAGCAAAAGAAATTACAGCAGAAGTTAATTTGGGGTTGTTTTAAGCTTAATGTGTGTTAATTTGAGCAGCTTAAGCAAAGGATGATGGTTTTCCTTTTTTAAATAAGTACAGTAATAAGAATCTGGAAAGAGGAACAGAAAGAAAGAAGCTATCGTGAGAGGTGAAATATAGAAAGTGACATTGTAAACTGATGTAAGTAAAACATGCAAAGGATTTCAAGAGTGAATTTTAGCAAAAATTCATTCACGTGATTAAAATTCATAAATACTGGCAGTTTTAAAACCACTTGAGTTCAGCAGTCAAATACCCATATATTCTCTTAGCTACTATAGAGAGTAGAAAAGTTTGTTTTTTAAATGAACGAACTTTGACATCTTTGGTGAAATATTTTGCTTATAAAAACATGATTTTTTTTCAAAACTTCATTACATGGTTATTATCAAAGCTGTTACACAACTTTTCTTCCTCAGAATACCATGTAATTTCCACTTTCAAGAGGAATCCTCTCGAACAGGCCTTCAGACGGCCCAATGTAAATCTAACCTCCAATCACCTTTTATATCATTACTGGATTGCTGTAAGCCATAAGGCCCCAGCATTCCTGTATGATACCTACCTCAGGATGACTGGAAGAAGCCCAAGGTAATGGTGACTAGCTCTGTCTTATCTGTTCCTCTGACTGTTAAACAACCCATGCTTACACTAAAATGCATATTAACTCTGTATTTGTTTATGCTTATGATAAGGCTTAATGGCCTTTTGTGAATGAGAAGACTTGAATTTAAGACTTTGTCAGAAAAGCAAAGGTAGTGTTGTAAGTCATTCTAATTTGTTCTGACGTTTGGTTGATAAGTTACTGTCATGTATTGAATTCTAGGTCTAACTTTACGTATTTTTCTGAATAACAAATAATATTCAAAATGCTTTGACGCTTATTTTTCCTACAGGATATTATCTAACTCATTCCTTCAAGATGAATCCTTTAAACCAAGTATTCAGGCGCCCCAATATTAAGTTTTATTCCAACAACCTATTGCTTCATTATTGGAAGGGTGTCAGACATACAGTACCTGCATTATTGCTCGATCTGGCACTCAGGTTGACAGGTCAGAAACCGTGGTAAGAAGAATAGCAGTAAATACACTATATATTGGTAAGGTGGTGGAAGCTTACTGGAGAGACGAAAAGTCTCTAGCATGAGCTTTACCTTTAGAATTACTAACCTAATTAGTCACAATCACAATCAGGATGCCAGGGCATTTCTTAGGAATTGGAGATCTTTGGGGAGACTAACTGTGGATCTAATTGTATTGGGTCATTGATCCTACAAAATCCCATAATATAGGAAATGTCCTACATCAAGGTTGTCATTGTTATTATAAGCTGAAATTGAGCCCTTCTCCTGTTCTTAAAAACCTAGGGATGAGTTTTTACAGGGGATTAAGGGTAAAATATTTTACTTTAAATGGATGGTGCAATTTTTTATGAAAAATACAGGATGCTTCTAGAAAATTACTTGAAGTATCTCTTGCTGCCCATTCAGCTTATAATATGGTTATTACAGTTTTTGACTAATTTTCCAGGTTGGGAATGGCATAGTTAAGAAAAATTAATAACAGATGGAAAACTTTCTATTTTCTTATACTTGTCATAGCCTCTTTCCTTTTTTTCATTGAAACCCCCAAAACTTAAAGTTCTCCTACTGTCTTTACCACACAGTTACAGTGAAATGTACTATACAAATATTTATTTTTTTTTTAACTACATTGGCATTACAGTGGAGTCTTTGGAGAGTTCAGGATTTGAGTATTAATGTATAAAGAAGATGCTGATTCCAGAACTTCCATCAACTGCTCAAAAAATAAAAGTGAGGTATATGCCAGTTACAGTGTATCAGGATCTGAGTTACTTGTAGGGATTTTCTGTGGATTCACTTGTCCATGATGTTCCTAACCCTATATGTTAATTGACTGAAATATGTGAGAGGTGTTGAATTGAACAACTCTAGAACAGGAGAAGAAATATTTTCAGGTTTTTCAAGAATGTTCTGCAAAATGCACTACTTGCCACAGTTTCGGGTAGGAAAGTCAAAACTGGATCAAAAAAGGAAAACAGATTAAATATATCGCAATGCCTTATACAGAGAAAGTGGGCTTAGTAAACTTTAAAAAAAAATGATTAAATAGCCAAAGTTTACTAAATGATTCGGAGTAGATGTTGCTGCATAACAAATCATCTCAAACTTAGTAGCTTAAAACAGCAACAGTCATTTTGTTACTTATTTCAATTTATTATTTCTCTCTGGATCAGGAATTTGGGAAGGAGTCAGCTGTGAGGTTTTGGCTGGGGATTTTTCATGTGATTGTGGTCAAATGGAACAGAAAGAGACAGGTCAGGCAGTGGGCAGTGGAGCAGTGAGGGGCCAGGTGTCACAGTCTCTTCATATCATGTCAAGATCTCTCCATATAGGTTCTTTGCTAGGACTACTGGTAGTCTTAGAGGAATTAGACTTAGTACATGGCAGCTGAAGGCTTCAAGGGGAAAGTATATCACTAAGTAAGGTGGAAGCCACATTGCCTTTTTTTCACCTATCTATGAAAATCATGCAGTATCACTTTTGCCTCATTCTTTTAGTCACAAGTGAGTCGCAGATCCTCCTAGATTTGAGGAAGGGGGATTTAGAGAATGGCCAATATCATGTTATAAATGAACAAGTGAGATGAAAGGTATTGTTGCAGCCAATTTGAAAAGTGCAATCCGTTGCAGTCAACCTTCTGGCCAAAACAATTCATATTCCTCCCACATGGAAAATACAGTTGCTTCTTTCCCCCAAGATCCCCCAAGATCCCTGTGGCATCAGTTGGAAGCCAGGGTTTTGTCATGTAAATCTGGTCCAGTTGCAGATGAAGCTCTTTAGGAATGGTTTTGCAGGCATAGCTCTTCAAGTATAGTTCCTCAAGTATTGATCTGGAAACCTGTGAACTAAAGCAACAAGTTACTGGCTGCTCATACTCCCATCATATCATGGTGAGACAAGTATAGGATAATGGCTTTAGACAATCTTGTTCAAAAAGAGAGAAAATGAGAGGCCTATAGCAAACACTGGTCCATAACAGTTCTGAATTCCAGTCAGGTATGCATTGATGATTTCTTGATTAGGGCTCAGTCTTACTCTCCGGAAGTTCCCTGAGGCTCTTGGCTCTGCCCTTGATGAGTCATCCTGCTTTTTACATAAAAAGTGGCCTATATGTGCAGCTGAGTAGCCTTCTTATCCTGCTTCCTACCCATAAAAGGTTAGGAGCCCAGGGCAGGGATTGGCAAACTTTTCTTGTAAATTAGGGCCATATAGTAAACATTTTAGGCTTTGCAGGCCATATGGTTTCTCATGCAACTACTCAACTGTGCTGTTAAAGAATGAAAGCAGACATAGATAATATGGAAATGAATGAGCATGACTATGTTCCAGTGAAATTTTATTTACAGAAACAGGTGGCGAGCTGGATTTGGTGTGTAGGCCCTGGTTTGCTGACCCTTGATACAGAAGCCTCTCTTTATTTTGTATTCTCTCTGTCCCTTTACATTTAAACTAACACAGTCACTTTAGAAATTGTTTCTAGTGTACCTATTTTGAAAGAACCTACTCCATTAGACCAAAGCTATACACATACATATCTTTGAAACAGACCCTTCTCTATCTTGGGTCCTGTGTGAAGTTTCCATGGGACATGGAAACATGCCTCTTAGATCCTTAGACTCTTAGATCCTGTCTTTTAAACAAGAGTTTCTGTGATACATGTCTTTAAGATCTGTAGAGAGAGAGCCTTTTGTCTGAAAGATTCTATGAGGCATTGCTTTAGGTCTTTCTAAGGTCTTAACAACATCCCCACCTGGATCTGATCTATGCTAAGAAACCATTTCTTAAGGAATTCCTGGCTGTCATTTTACATTTCCTCCAAATGCTACTCAAACAAATAGTTCATTTCATAAGATCATCTTTGTCCTCTTTCAGGAAATCTTGGCTAGATCATTGGGTTTATTAGGTACACATTCTAGCTTCCATATTACCACAGTTGACAGTTTTGTTTTTTCTTCCACTTCCAAAAATATTTTTCTCTCTTTAAGCCCTCACCAACAGCTTCCTCAAAGCCCTTTTAAGGCTTTCACTAAAATTATTTTCCTGGTCTTTTCAGGTTTCACTAATGATGATCTCAAGGGCCTTACAGAGTTTGTCTACTACCTGATCCTAAAGCCAACACCGCATGTTTTAGGTTTTTATTTCAGTAGCTCCTCACTCCCAGTATTAAGATCTGTTACTGTTATCTGTGCTTCATAACAAATCACCTCAAATTTAGTGTCTTAAAACAACAATCATTTTATTTGTGTGTCATTATTTTTGTGGGTTAGAAATTCTCAAAAGGCTTGGCTGAATGGTTCTGGCTCAGGGTCTTTCAAGTAGCTGCAGTCAGACAGGGACTGGAGCCAGGTACACTATGGAGGGGAGTGTCAAGGGGAGGAAGGGGACAGAGCAGCTGAGGTGGACGGGCATCTTTCTCTCTTCACATAGTCTCAAAGTTTCTCCATGTGGTCTCTCCACGTGGACTAGTTTGAGCTTCCTGGCAGCCTCAGAACAGCATACAAGGTGACTGAGGCTCCAAGCGTGAATAGCACATGAGCAAGGCAGAAACCTCTGTCACCTTTTCTGACCTAGCCCTCGGAAGTCACACCGTGTCACTGTCACCTCATTCTGTTGGCTAAAAGTCACCTTCACCTATCGATGGGAAGATAGGGTAACATTATAGGTGAGTATGTAGGATGGGAGATAATATCATAGGTACCTGTGGAAATTAAAATCTTCCCCATTTCAAATAGGGCATATTACCTGAGATTGCCCTGTGTAAGACTTTCTAAGTATCAAAGCAGGACTAATCCTTGACATCTGGGAGCTTATAGTCTAAAAGTAACAAGGGACATAAAGGTTTTTTATTTAGGCAGTTTTATAAATGTTATATACAAAGTCTTAAAAGTTATATTATTTAATTTGTTCTAATATTTACTGAGCAAGGTTCTGGGCTTTACACTTTATATTGGCCTCAATATGATGCCTAATTCTACATTAAACTGATGTCAGTAATGTCATTTATGGTGTTCATTTTACTTATTTACATTATTCTGAATGTCAGCTAGATAAATATCTGACTTGCTGTGTATCTTGACATAATTATAAAAAGTACAACACAGATATACATCATATGGATTCTTGGTTAATAGTCATTGGGATCTAGGATGTGTGATGTTATTGCATGCAGAAGCAGTATAAATTATTCACTCTAGCTCTTAAAATACAATAGACATTTTATCCCTGTTAAAAACATCTAAAAAAATGGCTTCATGGTCTTGTGTTTTGGTTATTTAGCTTAATTCTCTCTAACTTACCTTCTCTGAACCTGATATTTTTCATCTGTGTGATTCTCAACTGTGGATGCATTTGACAATGTTTGGAGGTATTTTTAGTTACCACAACTGGGTGGGGAGGTGCTACTGGAATCTGGTGGGTAGAGACCAAGCATGCTGTCAAACACCTACAGTACACAAGACAGCCCTCCACAACAAAGAATTATCTGACCCAAAATATCTGTAGTGCCAAGGTTGAGAAACCCTGGGCTAGATCATCATTAAGATCCTGCCCTACTCTAAAAGACCATGAGTGATTAGTTTTTGAAGGTTGCCATAATAAAGAACAAATAAAATACTCAGAACATGTACGGCAATGTAGGCACAAGCATCTGCTCTATGGTGTGTTTAACCAGGGAGTAATGGTGCAAAGTTTTGTGTTTCTTTTTATTCCCGCATAGTATTCAATCCAGTACTTTTGTTGCTTTTTAAATATTCTATAAATTTCATACAAATATATGGCCTTTCAAATTTCTCCCCTCCCCAATTATTTTTTGAATGGTTGAACCAGTGATGGATTTTAGGATAATTCTCTTATTTGAATGAATCTGAAAATAAGATTAGGTGAGAATTGTCAGTGAAAAAGGAGTTAAGAAGAAATTCTTTTTAATTTAAATTCTTTTTAATAAGAAATATGTTGGAAAACCTTGTTAACTGTGTGTGTGTAAGAGAGATTCAAGTATACTGTACTGGCTGTGATAGTGTGTATTGATTTAGTTACAAATTGTTTTTTGTTTTTTTGGGGAAAAAAATTGCCTAGTCTCTTCTTTTCTAAAATCAGCATGTCTTTTTTCCAAGTGCTTTTTATCTGTATGAACTATTCCTGTCCACAAATAGCCTTCGATGCTTGATAATTCTTTTTGTGTTCAATGGAGGTTTTATTTTGAAATTACTTTATTGGATGAACTGTAGTTTTTCTTTACATAGTCTATACTGCTTCATTTTCTCTAGTATTCTGGATTCAGAGTTTCTTTCTAAATGTATTGAATGTGTTTATCAGAATTGCTTAGCTAATAATAGGGTTTTGATTTTTCCTCCATTTCTAATGTTCTAATTTTCTTCCATGTTCCCCATTTCTAAAGCCCCTAATTTGGGGGCTTCTAAACTACATACAATGCTAATCCTTATTGTGGGAATGTAAATGAAATTCTTTAAAGTATTTCTCTACAAATTATTTTTCTCTTTTCAAAAGTTGGGAGTTTGGGGTGTGTGTTTTGTTTCAAAAAGTTCTTTCTTCCCTTTCCCTACTTATCATAGGTAGTTATTATTTTATAGATGTTACTGCTTGGGTTAGTGTTATGGTATCAATGACTTACAGCAAGCCATAATATATAAAATGGCAAATTTAAAGATTTAAGCTCTTTACTCTTTTAAAAAGAAACAAAACATACTACACTCCCTTATTTCTATCAGGATGGATATTGGTGGGGTATGGGAATATGAGTATCTGTTTTGGAAAGTTTTCATCATGAGTCATTGATGTCACAGCACAATCAGATGATCAAGAGTACTGCCGATCAATGTTAGAGAAAGTTTTTGTTTTTTAAATTAGAGTTGACTAAATGGCAAACGAATATTTCTGTATGCACTTTGCTTCAGTGATGCTAAAGAGTTGGGATTATAATATAACATAGTATGTTATGAATTCACAGGAAATCTTAGTAAATGCAGCCATGAACTAAAATGTAGTTTAAGGAACAAAAAGCAAGGGAATATTAATTGAATCCATTTATTTGCTTATTTAGTATTTTACATAGAAATGACTGAGAATATTGCATATCCTTTGAGAATTAATTCCATATATCAGTGGAACTCTGTTTAGGCAGTATTAAGTTCATTTGCTGCTACTTCCAAAAAAATTTTTTTTAATTTTGGATTTATAAAACGTTCTTCCAAGATACAGAAATATTCTTATTCCCTGCTGATGTGTTATACTTATTGAATTATGTATTATAATTTTAATGTTGATGTCTATATTGGGAGAAACTGGTACCCTGGGTGGTAATGAGATTTTTTTCTAATCTGTATAAATATGAATCTGTCAATTTTTCTTACGATACAGGATGATGAAAACAATAACTCGTCTTCACAAAGCTATGATGTTTCTTGAATATTTCACAAGTAATTCTTGGGTTTGGAATACTGACAATGTCAATATGTTAATGAATCAATTAAACCCTGAAGATAAAAAGGCAAGCATTTTCTATTTTATATTAGGAAATAAGTAACATACTAATTAGAGAATCATTAGCAACCCGAGAAATAGATATTTTCTACAACCATTATGTAATAAGAAAGTCATTGATCTACTTATAATCTCTCATTAAAGCTTCAATCACAATTATTGGTGATGAAATAAAATTATCCTAAAATTTATACCTCAAGTATTTTAGAGTAGCAAAGGTATTTTCAAAGTATGATTGAAATGTTGATTCCTTTTTCCTTCAATGTAGGGTTCAAAGAAAACTTTATGTGTTTTTCCTTCAAACATTTTGTTTTCTCTGAGTTTTGAGAAAAACCTCCTCTAAGAATTGTTTTTCATAAACTCTTTTTTGTCATTCCATATTTCACTCTTTGCTAGTTTGAAACTTAAAACTCTTTGTGTGTGTTCTTTTTGAAGTTATCCTAGATATTTTAACATGTATACCTAACATAGACTAAGTTAAACAATGTCTTTAGCCTCCTTCTTAATGATGTAATATTTAGAAGCTTTAAATGTTTCAGCTATGATTACCACTCTCAGTAACTTATTTGGTTGTACATTATTTCAGTTCTCTATTTAAACCCTATCATTAGATATTATTTTTTTTTACTCAGTTTTAGTTTAGATTTAAATATATATATCATTGTCTTTGCTGTCATATTTTCTTCTTATGATCATTTTCTTTCTGCCTGAAATTTATCCAGAATACCAGAATATGGTTTGGTAGTTGGTCTGTTCATAGTAAACTCTCAGTTTTTAATGGTCTGATATGTCTTTATTTCACCCTTGGTTTTGGAACATGATTTTAGCACATTAAAAATAGTGTTCTTTTTAGGCTGGGTGTGGTGGCTCATGCTTGTTAGCACTTTGGGAGGCTGAGGTGGGAGGATTGCTTGAAGCAGGAGGATTGCTTAAAGCCAGGAGTTAGAGGCCAGTCTGAGTAACATTTCTACAAAAAAAGAAAAATTAGTCAAGAGTAAAGATACGTGCCTGTAGTCCCAGCTACTTGGGAGGCTGAGGCAAGACGATCACTTGAGCCCAGGAGTTGAGGCTGCAGTGAGCTCTGATCAAGCCACTGTACTCCAGCCTGGGTGACAGAGTGAGACCGTGTCTCAAAAAGAAGATAGTGTTCTTTTTATATATTCTGTCTTATGTTGTTGCTGTTGAAAAGTGGGTAATTTGCCCTTCTTGGTCTAGATGATATGTTATTCCTGGCTCCATTTCAATTTTCTCTTTATGTTTGGTGTTCTGCAATTTTACTATGAAAGTGTCAGGGTGTAATTTTTTAAAAATTTACCTTGCTTGGGTTGGGCTTTCTGAATCTGAAGTTTGGTGTCTTTTAGCAATTTAGGGAAAATAGCCATTGTTTATTCAAATATTGCCTTTTTCTCATTCTATTATCTACTTCCAGAATTCCTAGCATATGTTATATCATTCTATCCTCCAGGTTATTAACCTTAATTTCATATTTTGTATCTCTTTGTTTCTGGGTTAAAATCTAGATGATTTATGATTCTGTGGCAGTCTATCAGCTGTATCCAAACCATCCAATTGAATTTAGAGTTTCAGTTATTATATTTTCATTTTTAGAAAGCTCATTCTTCGGATCTCATAGATATTTCTTAAACAGTCTCTAGAATTTTTTTTCTTAAATTCTGTTTCCAATAATTTAAACTTCTAAAGGATTTGCACCATCTGTTTCTGCTATCTGTTGTTTGAGCTGGGTCTCACTCATGGTACCTTATTTCTTTGTTTTTTATTATTACTTGTTTGACTGTAAATTCATATTCCTTGAGGATTTCTTTAGTTTTTTAAAGACTAGATTGAAATTGTAGTTTTTCAATAAAGATTTGCCTTTACTTCCACCAGTAGTCTAGTTAACCAGCCAGGTGGCATTAACAAGCTAGGACCCATTTAAAATATCTGATTCAGTTTTTAGCATAACTTAGGTGAATGTAGGCCTTAAATAGACTGTAGATCTGGTTCATGATTACAGTTTCTCAAAGGAGTTTTTTTTTTTTTTTATCCTCCCAATGCCATCTTCCTTTCTCTTCCCACTTAATCTTTTTATTTTGATGATACGTTTCATTTAACCCAATATATCAAATATATTATTTGAGCATATCAAAAATCTAAAATTACTTAAAGGATATTTTACTTTCTATTTTTCATACTGGGCCTTCAAAACCCAGTGTACATTTTACACTCCACAACATATCTCAGTTGGGACTAGCCACATTTTAAGTGCCAGAGAGGCACATTTGGCTTGTGGCCACCACATTGGACAGTGCAGATCTAATCCGTTCTACTGATTCCGCATGACAAAAGTCCTCAAGTGAGCTGTTTCTCTGCCCACTTCTGTGTGCGGTGAGTTTACTTTTTTCACCCTTACTCTGAGGACAGACATATTAATAGCTTTTTAGGTTCTTATCTTTTTGCAGAGGTATTCCATAAGAGTCCTTAACTTATGGGCCACAGGCTTTATAGTCAGTCTTCCTCTCTGCCTGCAGCCTTCAAAGCAGGACTAAGCCACCAGGGTCATGCAGATACTCTCAGGTGAAAGATTTGTGGCTTCTGCTGATTCCTTACTTTCTCCTTCCCCATCTCGCCCCACGCATAACACATACTGCTCAATGGATTACTATTAATAGAAAGTGAAGAACCAGGTGAAGAAGTAGAATATTATTACCCTCAGAAGTCCTGCTCATGCCCTTTCCCAATCCCACCTCCTCTGTCTTCCCAAAGGTAGCAACTATCTTGAATTCTAACACTAAATATTAGTTCTATTCATTCTTAACTTTACACAAATGGTATCATACAGTATTTTTTCATTGTTCTGTTGATAGGCATTTGAGTTATTTCCAGTTTTTGGCTATTAGAGATAATTCTCCTCTGAACATTTTTTGTGCCCATATGCACACATTTGTGCAGGGTATATACCTAGAAATAGGATAACATAGGGTATTCATACGTTCAATTTAGTAGAAAATGCCAAACAGTTTTCCGAAGTGGTTATATCAGTTTATGTGTTCCAAGTGTCAGTGTATGAGAGTTCCTGTTAATCTATATCCTCCACAGCACTTGGCATTTTAATTTTTAATTTTTGCCACTTTGGTAGTATATGATGGTATGTCAATATGATTTTAGTATGCATTCCCTACTATACAAAATGCTTATGTAAAAATAGTGGGAAAAGTCAGTAAACCTATTGAAAAATGGACTAGAGAGATAAACAGTTTACAGAAAAGGATTCTTAATCATTCAAAAAGATATTCAGCCTTACCCATAGGAATGGAAATGCAAAATAAAATTAGACTGAGATATTATTTACAACTTACCAAATTTTAAAAATGCTAACTTTGACAACATACTCTGGTGAGGCCCTGGGCAGTGGGCATCTTCATACATTGTCGGTAGAAATGTATGGTGTGGGCCAGGCGTGGTAGCTCATACCTGTAATCCTAGCACTTTGGGAGGCCAAGGCAGGAGGACTGCTTGAGGTCAGGAGTTTGAGACCAGCCTGAGCACGAGTGAAACCCCTTCTCTACAAGAAAATTGAAAAACTTAGCCAGGCGTGGTGGTACATGTCTATAGTCCCAGCTACTTGGGATACTGAGGCAGGAGGATCACTTGAGCCCAGGAGTTTGAGGTTGCAGTGAGCTATGATGACACCACTGTACTCTAGCCCCAGCAACAGTGCAAGACTCTTTGTCTCAAAAAAAAAAAAAAAAAGTATGGTGTGTTTCTCTGTCCTTTTATTTTCAACCATTCTGTATCTTATCTCTTAGATAAGATATGTGTCTTATAAGTAGCATATAGGTTTTTTCCCCAGTCTTGACAGTTTTTACCCTTAATTGTGGAATTAATCCATAATGTAATTCTTGATAATTTTGAATTTAAATCTCTTAGTCACACTTGTTTTAAGTTCTTTTTTCTTTCTTCTTGGCTTTCTTTTAGATTTTTTCTTTATAATGTCATGTTTTACCATCTATATTAAGTGCCTAGAAATATATTCTTTTTCAGTTGTTTCAGTAGGTTACTCTAGAGATTATAGTATCCTTCTTTAAGTTAGCAGGGTTTAATATAAATTGATACTTCCATCTTTTCTCAGATAATGAAGGACCAACACCTGTCTGTTATTGTTGTTACATATTTTAATTCTATATATGTGTTAAACCTTACATGCCATTATTTTTATTGCAGTCTTTGCAATAAATAATTTGTACAGATTTACCAGATTTATCACTTGTCATTTCTTCCTCCATCTCCCGACTTTAGCCTGGAATCAATCTCCTTCTGCCTAAATACCCTTTATATGCTTCCTCTAGAGTGGATTTTCTGCTAATGTCAGATATTCTCAATTTTTATTCTTCTGGAAACATCATTATTTTTCAAGGATATTTACACTGGTATAGAATTTTATGTTAGCAGTTATTTTCATTGAGTACTTGGAAAACGTCTCATAGTCTTTTGCTACCATTTGTTTCTGTTGAGAAGTCGACAGTCTAATAGCTGTTCTTTTGGAGGCAATCTATATGACCTTTTTCTGACTTATTCTCTATGCCTAGATATGTGTTTGTATGTGATATATGTGTGCTTTGAATTTGTGGCTTGGTGTCTCAATATTTTTGAAAAATTTCCAGGTATCATCTTCTCAGATGCTGCTTCTGTCCCCTTTTTGTTCACTCTTGCTATGGGACTCCCAATTACACGCATGTATACCTTCTTATAATATCTCTTTTGTTAACTCCAGTCAAATTTCCATTTTAATGCAGGGTTATTATATTTTCATATTTTAATGATTTATTTATGATAGCATTTTTTTTCACCCTAGGATTTACTATTTTTAGGTAAGTGATAGTATATAGTGAATAATCTCTGTTACTCCAAATAAAAGTATCTGCATGCTAAGGAGCACTGAACAGTGCATAGTCCTCTTATTTTTTCCATAAAGTAGCATTTCTGAAGTCTTTCTCTACTGGATTCGCCTACTTTTTTCATCAAATGGTCTAGTAACTGTTAAACCCCTAAGCCAGCTTTCATTGACATATTTTCTCTTGATGTCAAAAGCGTTCCCTAGGAAAATTGGTCTGTGTGGTATGCAGGTTATATAGGAAGAGAGGAGAGACTGCAGATAAATAGGAAGTGGAAGTAAACATCAATATGTGCATAAAGTAGAGAGGAATGTATAGACCTGTTTGGACAATAGAATTTTGTCTTTTATTAAAAAATGGCAAAGGCTTCTTTCTCCTTACATTTAACCTAATTCTCTTTAAATTCTGACATGAGTTTCCGGATTATCTTCTCAAATGTTTTTGTGTTTAATGGAAGGTATGAAATAGGAATAAGAACTTATTTATGAGTAGCAGTAAGATTTTAAAAGTTAATTCTGTATTTAATATTTTACAATCATGTCATTTGGAATTGGCCTTTAGAAAAAGTATGAATTCTTATTGGGTGTGAAAAAAATTACTTAGAAAAGTAACCAATAATTTTATTGTTAATGTAGACCTTCAATATTGATGTACGACAATTACATTGGGCAGAATATATAGAGAACTACTGTATGGGAACTAAGAAGTATGTATTGAATGAAGAAATGTCTGGCCTCCCCGCAGCTAGAAAACATCTGAACAAGTGAGTCTGATGCATAAGTTTGATTGTATCTTATTTTCCGTATGAAGTATTATGTAATTTTGTGGGGGTAAACTGGTATATTGAATAAAAGATATTGCTAATGATCTTTTATATTTGGGAAGAGTACTTACCTTTGGACTGAAACTATGGTAGTATTGATTTAGCACAAGATTGTTGAAACTTAATGTCTTCATCTATTCCTTAGTATAAAGTTCAGGTGGAATTGAGTTTTAAAAATTACTATTACCTTTTCTTATATTGCTACTAAAAAAGCAAAGGTCTTAGGAGAGAATAAATATTTTAAGCTGTAGGTAATTTATTTAAAGCTTTTTTATCCTACTCAAATAATCTTTGAAAGAAGAGATATAACGATACATCATTCAGCATAGAATTTTTCTTTGTTTGTAAAATAGAGTTATAATTTCCTTAGTCTCTTTATAAAAGTAATACATGCTGTTTTTTTTTTTATCTCAGAAAATGGAAGAGGAAAAATCACTGATAATCCATTATTCAGAGATACAGATAATTTTAATGATGATCTCTTTTATTCGTGTTGTTTTGTAATGTATTTGTAGCAGTTTTTAAGGCTTTCACATTATTATCCCTCTCGTGCCTCACAACTCTGTAAGACTTTGCAGGGCAGGCAGATGTATATACATGAGGAAGTTGAGGCTTAGGAAAATTGTATTTGCCTAAGCCATATTGTATTAAGTGGAAAAGCAGGCCGGGTGCGGTGGCTCATGCCTGTAATCCCAGCACTCTGGGAGGCCGAGGTGGGTGGATCGCTCAAGGTCAGGAGTTGGAGACCAGCCTGAACAAGAGTGAGACCCCGTCTCTACTAAAAATAGAAAGAAATGATCTGGACAACTAAAAAAAAAAATATATA